AAAATATCATGAGAAACACACAAATACTGTTCCTTTTGAAACTTCATTGTTCCATTTCCAAACACTGGACCATTTGAAGAAAACTAATTTTAAATCTTTATTAACATTCTTATTGCTGGCAACTAGTACTCTTGAGGTAATTAATAAAATTAGTCTTGTGAACAATAGCAATTACCAACAGATGGGCAGTTACTTACAAAAATATTATGTTGGGAGCTTTTTGGGACATCGTAGAAGTGTTGCTCTGCTCTTACTGTAGTATATTTAGTTTTGTACTACTTTGTATATATCTGATGCAATATCTGTGCCATTAATTTGCAATTATGAAAATTGCATAAGAAATAAAAAGTCTTTCAAGTTATGTGCATGAGTCATTTAAAAAACCACTGTTTTTCTGAATTTAGTTCAAGACAGCCCACACTAGGGTGAACGCAGAGTATATCAACATCTGTAAAAGATCTTGAGTCTGATGAATTTGTTGGTCTTTAGAACATTTGTCTCTCTGTAGAGAATACTGATCCTTGATTTCCAAAAGCTGGGCTGTTTTTGGTTGTTTTTTTTTTTTCCTCTAACTCTATGAGGCATAAAAAGAGAAGCTTCAAGGAGGATTTAGCACATTACTTTATAATAGGATTTATCTTTTTTTTTTTTTTTTTATCTGCATCTTTTTTCCTGTGACTTGATATTCTGGGAATTTCTTTTGAGAAAACCAATTGGGTTTTAATCCTGCAAAAATGTATTAACATGTTTAACAGTGTCCACACGGGTGGTCACTCAGTTGTGTAAAGCGAAGAATGAGATGATATTTGTTGAACTGGAAAGAGTAACCAAGAATATTTCCTGACCTTCAGTAATATAGGATAGGTCAGGTGTCTCACTAAACAAAAGCTCTTAAATGTTGCAGACTTTATAGATTCTTTGACTGCAAGTGGATAAACTAGCATAAGGTCTGATACCCACTTTTATTTCATGGATGTTGTGAATGTGAAGAAGAGAAAATTATTCTGTAAAAGACATCAGATTGGCATTTTCACCAAAAAACTCCAGTTACCACAACTTGAACTGCAATGTAGAGTTCAAACCTGAAATCCCGAGCCAAGCTTAGTCTTAAGAAAATGAAACAGCACTTCTTCTCTGGGTCTGCAGATGAAAGCATCGTGAACAGCACGGAGGTGGCAGCCGAGACATCAACTTGCATTCAGGGGCAGGGTGAGGGTTACCGCGGTACGGTCAACACCATATGGAGTGGAATCCAGTGCCAGCGATGGGACTCCCAGTTTCCTCACCAGCACAATATAACTCCTGAGAACTTCAAGTGCAAGTGAGTAGAGACATGTGGGTATTACTGCAGTGGAAAAAGAGCTTAGTTTTCAAATGTTTAGAAATTCATGCCACCAAAGTAGACTATGGGATCCCTGTCACTGCTCTGTGTGCTGGAATTTTACAGTGTGGATCTTTCAAGGTAAAGAAAAGATTCCAGTCTCAGTTTGGATTATCTCTGTAAGAACAGTTGTTTGAACAAAACAATTAGGTTTGTTGTCTCAATCCCTTCGCTACTATTGTTCAGGTTATTGATCAAATACTGTGCTTTGTAACACATCTACTGAAAACTTAATCACTATCATTGTAACAGAAAATAAGACTGATCCTGAGCCTCCTCTGTCAGTCTTAGGACCACCCTGGAAGTTAGTGCTTGAACCTGATCCCACAGGTTTTTCTCAGACAAACCACCACTTAAACCAATTTGCACTGTACGTCGGTAACACTGCTGCAGGATTAGGCCCTTGTGCCATTTTAACAACGCTCCTAGCAGTGCAGAGGGGTTAGCAATATTAGGACTGCTTACTCAGCCGATGCTTGAGAGCATAGTAGCTATTCAGGCCAATAGATTGAGTAAAATCAATAGAACTGCTGGTATGACTGTTCCAAACTCACTCACATGAGTAAGAATTACAGTATAAGGCCCATTCTTTCCATAGTCTATTATCAGTAAGCGCTGCAGATGGAAAAATACAGGGAAATAAGGAGATGCACAGAACATGGCAACAACTGTCAGGAGATAGGAAAATAAAACTTACATTTAAGAGGTTTGACCATTTCATGCAAGCTTTGAGAGACATTTAAAGATGTTCCCTTGTGGCTAACTTTCACTTTAAAGGTAACAGCTGTATAGAATTTCACCACACTTTTTTTTTATATTCCGAGATTCTGTTTCTTAAATGAGTCACTGACAGTCTACAGCACTCTGTTTCTCTAAACTCAGCAGAACCATTCAAAGTACAGGGAATTTTAAGCACTTTGGTAATGTTTGTATTTAAAAGCACTTGTAATGGGTTGCAGGTGTATCCAATGTCAGCTTGCAAGACAATTTTTTTGGAGAATCCCAAATAAAAATAAGCTATATTGAAAATATTGTTAATCTTCAAATGAAATCTTACATCCAGTCAAAACATAGGTCCACTGAAAATGACTTTCCATAATCATATTCATATTACAATTATTATATTTTTCTGGACACTGTGTTCTTACTGGCTCCTCATCTCCTTGCACTTGACACTGATCAGTAACACACAGACCTTAAGGAGCCTATATTATTGCTAATTCATAATAAAAAGCAATACAATG